TTTTCAAGAAAGTTTGGACTGAAATTTCCGGTTAACTGACCTTCAGCACGTTTTCCAGTCCAACTGATAGTGGATCTCGTCCATCGCCCCAATCGCCCAATTCATCTTCTATTTCCACAGAAATTCGCAAAAACCGCAAAATAATCGCTAAAAACCACGACTTATCCACCGGTTAGTATTATCCGGCTCGAAGGACCAGAAAGAATTATCGCGAAAAATGCTTCCACCACAAAGTTAAGTACTGTATTTTACAACTCAATCATTTATTGTTTTTTTTCAACCACGAGATCTCGTAAAATCACAAGACTTTGACGTCTCTGATTCAATGGCACGTAATGCGACAAGTCGACTACGTCTCGTGTTTCTCCTTATGCTTCTTTCGCGATCTAGCCGCTTCCTGCGTACTTTGAAACAGAACAGAGCATGTTCAAGGCTTTTGTATTTGTTAAATCAACGTCAACACATCCAGCTCTATTGAGATTATGGTAATTACATCACGTGAGCCTCATGGCTATGGTTTGAAAACATCATAGTTTTCCTTCCATTTTACTTCTCTGATACGAGCGAACTTGCAATTGCCAAGACTTCTTTCTTCACTGCCAACCTAACTTAGTCAAAACAATCTGCTTCTACCACGTGGTTTGGGTCCCACATCGCCCAACTTGGATTTTAATTTCAAATAGTGTCTGCATCTGCCAATATGATGAAGATGTCCGCCACATACAAGGTCCTTTTAGACTAAATATGGCAGGACAACATCGGGATTTAATCGGTTTCTTTTAGCTAATTAATGTCTCCTTCATCAGGTCTCATCATAGAAAAGCTTCCGCGACAAATGCATGATTAGGTTTAGCACTGCAATCAAAGATGTAGCACTATGCATATGTTTTAAACCTGGTTGGTCTCGACAGATCTCGTTAGTTTTGATGAAAGTAAATCGCCCAAACACCAACTTCTCAATTAACCGTTCAGATAAAATTTCCGTCACGTTTACGAGCACAAAGAAAATTTTCTGAATATCCGAAGTAAAACTCACTTCCGAACCGGTCACCTGCATATCAAACTGAACCTTACACACGGCAGCTGATTAACAACAATTTATTATTAAAAAAACATTGCTACAATACACAAAGCTAAATAATGCTCAACATCGACATAGCATATGCTGTCGGTCGAAAGATCTGCTGAAGATTCGATGAGCTAAAAGTAGAATACTATACAAAGGTAGCAGCTCAAATATTGTAACAATAGACTGAGATTGACTGTTATACGACACGATCGACATTTGCCATTTTGAAAATGTCATAGGGGGAAATAGATTACGAACTGTCGATGGAAGCATAGACTGGGTTAAATACAGTCAGATTGGTTCAATATGGCAATTACATTTCTCAGAATACAATATTCAATCTGGGAAAGTGATGCGAATGGCCCGACTCACCTTTCTCCGACAAAACTCCTTTCCACAAGGAAACTGTGTCTACTTTTTGTTTTTCTTTGTGTGACGAGAAGATTAAATTTGCATACATACAGCGTACAGGTCATCCTATACTTATGTACTCCTTAAAATGTTGAAACTATCCTAAAAAAAAAAAATTCCAACATAACATTCAGTAACTTGACTACGTTTACGTTTATGTAAGTGGAAATTAAACCGAAAGATATTTATTTCACCGAAACAGTTCTGTTGGGTGGTTACTTTTCGTAGAATTTGTTCGGTTGTCCAGAGTTTATTGCAGCCGGTATCGGCGCCGCTTGAGCTTGTCCCAGCGGTGGAGGATATTGGTTTGGTGGCGGTGAATAGCTCGAGTAAGGCGGAGGAGGCTGATTAAAGCCTTGAGGAGGCGGGTTGTAACCAGCTGGAGGAGGCTGTATGGAGTACACCAACGGAGGAAGATCTACTCGTAGCGCCGTCTCGTGGGTGTGAGTTGCGACTATTTCTTGTCGTGCTTGTTGGTCGGTGACGACCACATTATCGGGTGTACGATAGCGGTAGTACGGGCAAGAAGCGCAGCAGCAGTAGGATACGATGGACATGATGATGGCGAAGAAGATAATCGTGCCGATAATGGCGCCTGCAATAGCTCCACCGCTCCAACCACAGTGTGAGGAACAAACTCCCCCACAACAAACCTCTCCAATGTCACAATGGTAGTCATACGTGCAGGAACAAGAAAACGAACTACTGATGCATTTGCTATTACAGCATTGCTCGCCAGTGTCACATTGGAAGTCGTGCGAACAGGAACAACTTGAGAAACTACTGATGCATTTGTTATCACAGCATTGCTCTTTCGTTCCACACTGGTAGTCGTACGAACAGTGGAAACATCTCTGTCTACAGACTTTATCTGAACAACAGGACTCACTGAGGGAACAATCGCTACAGTAGTTAGCACTTCCCAAGGCAAAGATATGGACGAAAAGAAAGCATAAAAGTTTCTTTGAGGCCATTGTCCTTTTACAATTTCAAAGGTGTCCGTTCAATGTAAGATAATGATTTGATGAATAAGACGCGGTTGTCTGGTTTCCAAATTATCATATATGGCATTGATGGCGATGGGGCGCGGGGGAGGGGGGTGGAGGGAGGGTGGAGGGGGAAGGGAAAGTCCATAACATTTTACCAAAGAAGGTCTTGAGTTGCCACGGTATTACACTCTAGAACAGGGCAACAAACAGGCTGCACCGAACGATCCAAAAATTAGTATTTTTTTATTTTCACCATCTTCTTCGTTAGTACATGAAAGAAAACTACCAACTCCAGCCAATCAGAATTCACAAAAGAATGGACAAAAGGGTTAACCAGGAGGGAGTCAATTCACATTTTCTTGCAAAAGAGTGACGTCAAAGAACACAATTGGTGTCAGATTTTTGTCGACGTTCCCTCCCTTCCGCTTCATCTTAAGGGGGGGGGGTGGGGTAGGGTATAGCTACACGTAGGCTAAATGCACAGGTAAGGCCGTAGGATATATTTACAGTGTATTACGGAGTTACAGTGTATTCAGTCTTGTCACCGTTAACCAGTTAAGTCGGAACATTCTTGGCTCGAGCTCTTCTTCACCTTCGAAATCCTTAAGTCTTCCCTCCAGACTGCCGTGGCCACCTTCGTCGTTTTGTACGGCTTGAACTTCAGCTAAGTCGAACTGCTTCGGCTTCCAATGTCTCATTTCCTGCGCTTCTTCAGAGGTGGGACGTTGTTTCTCAAGTTCAAGTTCTGCTTCTAATCGCACTCGCTCAGCTTCTTCCTTAACTTTAAACAATTTTCGCTGTAACTCAGCTTGATTTTCAATTTCTCGCAATTTTTCTTTGACAGTACCTTTTGCCTTTTGACGTACGCTATTGTAGCGGCTGCTTTCGCTTTGAAAGCCAACGGATCCCTACTACTCTTAAACGAAGCCTTCGAACTCAATACAAACGATTCTTCACTCGTTCTCGCCTTCAAATGTTCTACTACCTCATCCAATGCTTCTGTAGCTCTAACAAGATCTACATCGTGCCATTCAAGTACTTTATCGTGCTCGGAGTCAGAAATAAACGACAGATACTAAACATTCAATTCTTCGGCTTGTTGTAAAAAAGACTTTAATTCGGCCATAATACGACTGATTCGAGTTTTACCACTTGCCACACTGTTCTATCAAAGCTGCTAAACCTTTCAGCTGATCATAAATTGTGATCTTCTTTTACTTTTCAAGAAAGTTTGGACTGAAATTTCAGGTTGACTTACCTTCGGCACGTTTTCCAGTCCAACTGATGGTGGATCTCGTCGATCGCCCCAATTACTCAATTCTTCGTCCATTTCCACAGAAATTCGCAAAAAACACAAAATAATCGCCGACTTATCCACCGCTTAGCGTTATCCGGCTCGAAGGACTAGAAAGAATTGTCGTGTAAAATGTTTCCACCACAAAGATAAATACTGTATTTCACAACTCAACCATCTATTACTTTTTGTAACCACGAGGTCTCATAAAATCACATGACACAAAGCGTGCAAACGAGATAAAATAAAATATATATATATATATCGATGTTCAGTTGCTACAAGCCGACTACGTCTCGTGTTTCTCCCTACACTTCTTCGTGCTTAAGCCGAATCCTGCATGCTTTGAAACAGAATAGAGCACAGTCAAGACTTTTTATTCGAGCTCCCGTAGGGACCTCTGAGAAAGCTCGAGTCTAAAAATGCAAGCTGTTCTTCGTCGTATTTGGCCATCAAATGTATAGGTTTCGCACCAAAAGTTCCAGGCGTTCCTAGCGAAGACCCTAGAAACTGGGAATACAGCTATACAGAATGCCGCAGTGTTCTGTGAAGAAATCTCCGGAAAGAATAATGCCTCATACGCTCGTCTCACATACAAACGCACACACCATTCGTGGTAGGCCCACACTAAAAGATGTCGAGCGATTTTGGAACGAGTGAAGGTTGTCCAACACACCCAAGCTGAGTCCGATGGACAAAGGCCATGAACAACCAGACAGAAAGTATAGAGTTGCGGACTGGGTGGAAATACATGTCGGCAAACGGCCGGACTCCATCGGATACGATGGAGACGGGTTGCTGTGGCAAGAGGCTATCGGACTCGCCGCGTGTCAGTTCGCGAGAGACTTAGAAAATGTACGGCAAAGTAGAGTAGAGGAGGAAGTGGAAAATGTGGGTAAACGGACTCCATCGGATCCGATGGAGACGGGTTGCCGTGTCAAGAGGCCATCGGACTCGCCGCGTGTCAGTTCGCGAGATACTTAAAAATATACAGCAAAGTGGAGTTGAGGAGGGAGTGGAAAATGTGGGCAAATGGATTCCATCGGATCCGATGGAGACGGGTTGCCGTGGCAAGAGGCCATCGGACTCGCCGCGTGTCATTTCGCAAGAAACTTAGAAAATATACAGCAAAGTAGAGTGGTGAAAGGGGTGAAAATGTCAGCAAACGGACTCCATCGGATCCGATGATGCCTTCTCTGTGCATGGTTACGTTTGGCACGTACAGATGAAGGTTTCTTTAGGCAGCCCAGTCGTCGGTGTGTACTTCTGACCCAGGCAGGAGGACCCTTTGCAGAACATTGGACAATTCTCGGCGGTCTCTTTTTTACACAACTTAGAAGTAGCCGCGACTATGACTGTGTTCCGAAGAGATCACGCCAAATACCCATACTTTATCGCTGGCCCTGCGCCCTCTTTGATACTATAACGAGTAAATGTTTTAAATTGGAGATTGAGAGTTGCCCCTATGTTCATCAAAAGAAAGTTTAATTTTTATCTAATATTTGTGACATCAAGCACCTTCCTGGCAGATAAACCCAGTCCTCTTAGCAGATTTAATGGCGGGTACTGTGCCAAGTGTTGGGAGTTACTCGACGCTATTTGACCATTTTATAAGTCGAATAAGAATTTCGCATGTGCCTCAAGGTCGAGCACAGTTTTAATCTTTGTAAATAATTTTTGAAAGCCTAGTTTATTCATTTATGTGCCCGAACATTGTTTGATTTCCTTTTAAAGTTGCCCAGAAGTTCAAAGGCGTTTTTGGTCAATCCAACCATGAACGATACTCTAGAGCGCAACTCGCGCTGACCCCACAGGTAGATTACAATTAAGAGTTTTTTTAAAGGAATACTGGGAAAGTCGGCGAAAAAAGTGCCTTCTCTTAAAGACTTCTTGCCTCTACACCCTCTGTATCTCCTGGAAAAAAAAAAGCAGTGGTGTAACTCGGGTAGAATTCTGGTTTAGAATTATCACTTTTTTTAGAACTATATTAGTTTAATAGTAGTATGCCAGTAATATAAAGTGGACAATTTTAAAAATAGTCTTTGTGTTGGAACTGTCAAGTCTTACCGCGCATAGCCATCTACGGGATTTGGATTTCTCTCTGCTAATTCCATTCCTCTATTACATGGCACACATCTCAGAGGGCTAGCTATCAAGTTCTGCCGCTGCAGCCAAGTTATCACATTGAGGACTGGACCATCAGTGAGCATGTTAATGTCCATGAGATTCATCTTGATATGCTATTCAAATGCTTGGTTGGCTTCATTTATACTTATACTACGACTACTACGACTACTGAAACAACTGCTACTACAGTGTGGAAACGAGATGCGAAGGTGCGTGTCATTAAGTGGGGCCCCTTGTTCTGTCGCATTTTGTACTAAAATTTTCGTACTTGTTAGAGGGCTTTTTTCAATAGCTGTCAGCAAAAAAAAATTCTCCCGTAAAAACAAATTCAAATTTTATGAACCACGGACAGTGAGCAATATCCGAATTTTAAGAAAGCCTGTCAGGAAGATTGAAAGTAGGCGACATTGTGGAAATACTTGCCGATCCCGAAGAAAGGGTATCAAAATAAAAACTAAGTGGACGATAAGACCAATTCAGGGTAACAGAGTCTATTTTATTTTAGAATTCATTACATTAAAAACAACAACAACAGAGTTAAAAAAAAACAACAGCAACACAAATAACACAGCAATGATTGATCACGTTACGTATGAGTGATTTTTCGAAAACTTTTGCGTATTAGCTGCGTAAAAATTACCCACAACCTTATTGATAATAAAAATGACGTCAACAAGATTCAAGTTGCGCCTCGTTGCTTAACTTAGGTTTGGAACGTTGAGGAAGTCATTTCTATGATCATAATAAAGTTATAGTTAATGAAAAACTCTGCTGAATTTGTTAACTCGCACTTTGTAATAACACTTGTCGCACCTTGTATTTAAAAAGCTGTGAATATGAACACGATCTTTACGGTAATGAACACTGAGTGGGTATGCCAACTTTTGGAACGGGTGTGTTTAATTTTTAGGGGGTGGGGTTCGATTCCCAACGTACTTGGTGTCTAGTGACCCTCTGGATTATGGTGAACCCAACCCTAGGGCATAGCACTCCCAGCCATGAGTTGGAACAGACTGGTTGTCCGGCGGGCATTGCACGACCACGGGAGCCCGGCCGTTGGCCTTAAACATGAAAAAGAAATTAGTTGAGCAGTAGTAAAAATAAGGCCTGAAAAATTCATGCTGGTACGGGATTTGAACTCATTACCTGTGCGATACCGGTGCAGTGCTCTACCAGTATCACAGAGGTCATGGGTTCAAATCCCGAACAGGCCTTATTTTTTCTGGCCTTATTTTCACTACTGCTGAGGTAGTGTTCACTACTGCGAAGGTCGCTTTCATATTTACGTCTTTATCCGCAGTTCACCTATATGATTTTCATACATTCACATTCAAAGCTCTCGCACTTTTGTTTGTAATGTGAATGGTCGGAGGGAGAGTAGACCCAACTGAATAACCATCATCCCTGTCAATAACGACAATGATAATAATAATAATAATAATAATATTAACATTAGACCATAACAAATATAACGATGATACTAATTATCGTCAAGAACTTTTTGTCCTTGCTTCTCACTCTTTGTTCATCTCGAGGCTCGGCCTACTGCCATCGAAAATTCGTAATGCAAAATGCTTGCCTGCGACTGAGATCACATACGGGGGGCCATACGGGGGGCCATTGCGACGGGCCATTTTCGCAAAAACGCATTGTATAGTGCTAATGACATGGGCTTAACGCTCGAAACGTCAGCTTACAAACTTTTTACGGTGGCCAATTTACGTTATCAACTCCGTTAATAAAACCAAATTAGCTTAATATTTCCCTCAGCGACGAGGTTGAGGCGTTCCTGGTGCAAAATCTTCCTTGGAAAGTACAATTGTCTACTCCATCAATGCGGACGACCTTGAGACAACAAAACAGTGTCCATATCCAGCGTCCAGCAAAATTTAATTCCGTATCGAACGAGTTTGTAATGGTAATTATCTGCTATCCGTATCATCGGGTTATCCATAACAGTAGGGTTTCCTCGAAGCGAGAGTTTACTGAGTTTATCAGTTTCTTTCATGAAGAATTTTTTAATACTTTTTTTTAATTGATAAACTATAGCACTTCCCGAGCTTAAATTATTATAGTAAAAATGTGTTTAATCAGGCTAAACGTTTCATCTGACAATGGCAGACTTCATCTGCGGGTTTTTACAGTAAAGTCGAGTAATTAAGTTTGCTTAAGTCGAAATAATAAATAAATTGTCTATTTTCGTTTTTCATCCATAGTGTGAAGATAGCGTAAAGTATTTGCAAGGTGTGACAGAGGAGTTCCACGTGCGTGCGTGAATTGGAAGTTACATGCATGGGTACCTGATGTGTTTACGGGTCACAGATTTAGTATCAAATCTTTGCTACAATTATCGTTATTAAATATTGACAAGGATGTGGTTGTCCTTGGGGCCACTTGTAGGCCTGTCCCAATCAAGCTTGGCGACTTTTGAGCTACTTTTGGCGTTAGAGCATCTTTTGCGGTCTTGGTGACCTGAAGCACTAGTTAAGCACGAAAAAGTCAACGGTTTCATAGAAAACTCCGATTTATGCGAATTTCTTGAATTTTCATCGACCTTTAGAACACATAACCTGTCACTTGGCCACGTCTTGCCGACCTATAACGACCCTTGTCTAACGGTCCTTGTAACGGATAATCAGCTAGCCGTTAGACTTCTTAGTTTTCTTTTCGTTGGCTTATTTTTAAGAAAAATACAGAAGGAGGCTGGACTTTTCGCGTACGAACTATAGGAAATTGGAACAAGCTGTCTTTTGACATAAAGAAAGCGATAAATGTTAAAAAGAAATTTTATACGAATTTAATCGCTGAGAAAATAGAGATAGGAAATTTTGAGTATCTTTTAAATAGTTAAGTAGCCTTTTATATCGAGTCTCCGAAATAATTTGTTCTAGATACCTAATACGTTTTTAAATAGTTTAGATTTTAAAATAAGATTCTAGACAGTTTTTAAAAATTATATTTGCTTGCTTGTTACATTGTGTCTATGAATAGTTTTTATCCTTCTATAATGACAGTGTAGAAATATTTTAATATTAATTTTTATTTTATGTTTTAGAGAGGGCCTATATGGCGATAGAACTGTCACGTGTTTACCCTCTTTAGATAAGGGCGTTACCTTGCCTATCCAAAAATTTCGACCCCATATTTGCGAGCAACTAACCTATTTTTCTTGACCTGCCCCTGAGGAAAAAATCATTATTTGATGTATGCTTCAGTGAATAATGAAGGTGAATAAAGTCAAGGGGTTCTTACAATCAGGGGTCTTACAACCAAGGGTTCCTACAATCAAGGGTTCTCAAAACCAGGGGTTCTTACAATCAGGGGCTTGTATCAGTGTATCTTACATGACAGGTCTGTGCCCAGATGTTGATATTGATCATTGTTCCTTACAGTCAGGGGTTCAAATCAACGTGTCTTACATGACAGGTCTGTGCCCAGATGTTGATATTGATCACTGTTCCTTACATACAGGGGTTCAAATCAACGTGAACAGGTCTCTGCCCAGATATATATATATATTGATCATAAAATCTTACAATTAGGGGTCTGTGTTGATCACAAATCTAGTGCATTTCCTGTGATCAGATGTTGATATTGACCTTACAATGTCACATTCATGTGAAACCTATGTCCTAATGTTTATTCTGATGGTAAAATCTTATATCTAGGGGTCTGCGCGCAGATGTCGATATAGATCGTGAATGCTTTCATTACATCCACGGGTCTTAGATTCCTTTCTTGCAACTAGGGTTTTTCAATTGGACCTTGGAATAGTTGCAACGTAACAATAACGAATTATATATGGGGACTTTTTTTTTAAATTGTAAGGTGGTTTTATATAAGGGTCTGTTCCCAGCTACTGATATTGATCCAATTCTACAATGAGATATGTTAATAAGTCAAATCAGCTGAACATGGAAAGAAATATTTCGAATACTTAAGGTTGTTTTCATGTAATTTCCCATATAGTGAGTACAAGAGTCTAACTCATAGAGGCAATTATACAAAATACAAGCTTTGTAATGATGTGGAGGAAAACCCTGGTCCTGCCATGCAGCATGTTGATCCCAATAAAACAATAAAAGATCCACATAAGAAAGGGGATGTTGTATTTTGACAAAATGCAAGACAAAAATTTGTTGCAATGAGTTTATGTGCTTTAATATACCACAATATGAAAGGAATAAGTAACCCTGGTGACTTGAAACAAATAGTGCATATTGGCAATCAGCTATACAGCAGTTTGTCAAAACTTAAGCTAGACAATCATTCTTACTGCTTACAGAATTACCAACAATGCTTACAGTATTGCAGGGAAATTACCAGCTAGAATACAGTGCAAGTTACACTGTTAATGTCCATGGTGAGACTACTATTAAGGAATATCAATACTGAACCTGAAAAGAGCTTTTGAGTCACTGATATCAGAACAATACAGATTGCTTATTTTAACAGTTGGTTGTATTGCCGTCAGTATTGTTTACTGTGCTGACAATCGCTATTTTAAAGTGTTTGACTCATGCTCGAGATATTTATGGTAAGAGTCAAACTAAAGGGACATGTATACTATTAGATATATCATCTGCAGACAACTTAGTGCCATACTTTCAAAGTTTATACGGAGTAACTGATGTGTTTGAACTGAAAGGTTTACATATTACAAAATATGACATAACAGCGAGCAACAGTGTAAAAGATGTATTAAATACACCATCAAAAACCACTACTGCTTTGAAATAGCTCTTTATTCTATATGTTACTCAATCATTTCACCTTGTCGTTACTGGAACTCAAATACTTTAGATGCAATTATTCAAAATGGAACTCGGCTTAATAATGCAATGCAAAGTGAACATCATTCAACATCTATTTATATTCGTAACAGTGTTATAATTTTTGGCATTAAGATAAACATAGATGTTGTAAACGAAGTCACAGAAAATTAAATAAATTACCTAAAAGCAGGATATCTTTAAAGACCTTGATTTTAAGGAACAATGGGAAAACAGAATTTTTAATGTGCATTTCAAGTTTCTGTGCTGCTTGTATTTATCAACAAAATACCACAGTGAGACTGTTTTCACTTCTGACATGAAGATGGTAATTCACCTGAAAGAAAACACACAAAACACATCAGTGGTGTAAACAAACTTCTAGAGGCAATTCAAATTATAACATAGCTAGTAAATTTGTCTTGTCAAATTCAATTGCGCGAGCGTGCTTCATATTCCTATTGTGCACACTCATGACGTCAGCAGACAAATCCCTCAAGAAAAAAATTTTCCTTCGGGTTGAAAATGTTATAAAACAATTGGTTCATACATCAGCTGTGCGTTCATATGAAGATATATGATATCTTCATATGATATATACTTCATATCTTGAGATATGAAGCACTTGGGAAGTTTGGAGAGCACTCAAGAAGCTAGAGTTGTTCTATTGAATAATGTATTAAAACGTTTAAGAAGAAATTTAAGAGAAGGCCCTTATTTCATATGTATTCTCTGTAATCGAATACTTTATAAAAAATCAGTAATGAGGTGCATAAACAACAATTACGCCTGCCCAACATTTTTCAATATTCAATAATCAATTGATGGTAAGGAATATATATGCAAGACATGCCATTAAAAAGTCATAAAAGAGAATTACCATATCAGGCTGTTGTGAATAATATGTATGTTGATGAAACACCCACACAACTGGCTTCACTAGAAAAACTTGAACAAGAACTAGTTGATTCACAATTTTCGATCCTCTAGAGCTACTCAGTTTTTTTTTTCTGCTTTTTTTTTACTGCTTCTTTCCCCTAACTTCTCAATAAATCGCTCAGATTAAATTTCCGTCACGTTTACAAGCACACAAAAATGTTCGGAATATCCGAAATAATATTCACTTGCGAACCGGTTGTTACGATATTCAGTTGACTGCGTCAGAGCTTTGTATTTCCCTTGGCAATAATGCACCAGTCAATGTAAACCCCCGCACCCCCCGGCCGAGACATAGCAGTGCATTTGACATGCGCTCACTTCTAAAGTTGCAGAATGCCCCGCACCCCAAGGTCAGGTTTTTTCTCTAATTGAAGCTAACGACCCCGCTCACATCCCCCTCTCTTGTTGAGTGGAAGACACAGGCTAATGTAAATGATTTAAACTTTATTTGTCAAGTAACACACGTCACCGCAGACAATGCTTTTCAAATGATGACATGCTTGATCGGTCAAGTGATTCTCAGAATAAATTAAGTTAACCTGACAAAAGATTTTTGTTCACAAAACAACAAACGACCTTAAGGACGGATGGCATACTCAGCCAAAGATATAAGGTGATTGAGATAAAACGACTCTTACATTCTTCAAAAGCCGCCATCTCGCCGGACTAGCAATTCTTGACTCAGTCCACCTCGGTGGAAAATACCCCGGTCCACTCCCCCGCTGTTCTTGGATGACGTGCAAAAGAGGTCAAAGTCCCCGATACCTGCGGCCCTTTCGCTTGTCAAATAACGGAAAATTCCTGCAAATGCCTCGCTATGTCCCGGCCGGGGGGGTGCGGGAGTTTACATTGACTGGTGCATAACGTTTAGTTGGTAAAAAGCACATGGTGACTGCTGTCTTACGTCACCGGTCACCTGCATGTCAAACTGAACCTTGCACACGGCAGCTGATTAACAAAAATTTATCATTCAAAAAACACTGCGACAACACACATAAATAAATACTGCTCGACATCGACATAGCATATGCCATCGAAGGATCTGCTGAAGATTCGATCAGCTAAAAGTAGAAAATGAAAAAGCAACAAATCTCGCTAAAACGGAATCAGATTTCTAACGTCTATAAATAAGGTAGCAGCTTAAATGAAATAACAACAACCTAGCCGATGGAAAAAAAATTAACATGCATAATTCGTTTACCCAGATGATCAATTTGACTGCTATAAGACACGATAGACATTCACAATCTTGAAATTTCATAAGCGAAAAATAGATTGAAAACTGTCGATGGAAGCATAGACTGGGTTAAATATGACAGTTATGTAAAACTACATTTCTAAGAATACAATATTCATTCTGGAATATTTATGCAAATGACCGGACTCATCGATCTCCTCATGAAATCTGTGTCTACTTTTTGTTTTTGTTTGAACGACGAAAGAAAAGTGGAAATATACAGCGTACAGATCATTCTATACTTCAAGTACTCCTTAATTAAAACGTTTGAAACTATCCCTAAAAAAAATACTAACATAACATTCAGTAACTTGACTACGTTTACATTTATGTAAGTGGAAATTGAACAGAAGGTTACCTCGAAGGTTACTTTTATTAGAACTTGTGCGGTTGTGCAGCGTTTATTGCAGCCGGCATCGGCGCCGCTTGAGCTTGTCCCGGCGGTGGAGGATATTGGTTTGGTGGCGGTGGATAGCTCGGGTAAGGCGGAGGAGGCTGATTAAAGCCTTGAGGAGGCGGGTTGTAACCAACTGGAGGAGGCTGATTGTAGTTCACCGGCGGAGGAACATGTACTTGTTGCGTCGACATGTGTGTATGGGTTGAGACGATCTGTTGTGGCTGGTTGCCGGTGACGATCACAGTACCGGGTGTACGATAGCGGTAGTAGGGGCAACAAGCACAGCAGAGACAGGACACAATGGAAATGATGATTGCGAAGAAAATAATTGTGCCGATAATAGTGCCTGCAATAGCTCCACCGCTCCAACCACAGTATGATGACGAACAAACTCCCCCACAACAATCCTCTCCAATGTCACAATCGGAGTCGTACGTGCAGGAACAAGAAGACGAACTACTGATGCATGTGCTACTACAGCACTGCTCATCAATGCCACAATCGAAGGTGGACGAACAGGAACAAGTGGAGAAAATGCTGATGCATTTGTCATCACAGCATTGCTCGTTCGTCCCACACTGGCTGTTGTACGAACAGTAGGAACATTTCTCTCTACAGACTCCATCTGTACAACAGGACTCACTATAGGAACAATCGCTTTTGAAGGTACAGTAGGTAGCACTTCCCAAGGTAAAGAAACAGACGAAAAGAAAGCATAAAAATTCCTTAGAAGCCATGGTCTTCCTTACAATTTCAATGGCGTGTGTTAATTGATGTGACATTGATAGCGAGGGGGGGAAGGGGAAGGGGACGAGGAGAAATTTCATAACATTTACCAAATAAGGTCATGAGATGCCACGGGGTTACACCGTAGAACAGGGCACACAACCTGGCCTACGGGACAACAAACTGGCCGCACCGAGCGCTCTCGGAAGTTTGCATTTTGTTTTGTTTTGTTTTGTTTTCACCCCACAATAATATCTTTCTTTTCGGGTCCCAAAAATACGTTTAAAATTTAAATTATAGTATATTCCCATAGATCTTGGTCACCTCCTATTTCACTATCCATATAAAATCAATTTGAAAAGTAGCAAGTTTAGAGCAATTACTATTTTGCAAAATGGACTATAATCACTGAGCGGTAACGATGAAGCCATTCTCGTGTCATACAACGGCTTTGGTAATTTACTAATTTGAAATATTTAAATTTATTTTCGTAACATAAAAGATGTCACATTGTCAACGCAAGATGAAAATGGTCGATTTCGCAAAATATATGTCAAAAAATTAAAAATCCTCCTAAACGTTTATTCCAAAATTGTTGTGAAAGTTATCTTTAAATATTAGATAATATACCCCATCATTCTTTTAGTTTCGCTTGGTTTCGTTTCGTTTCGCAAAATAGAATAAGCCAAAGGTAATCGAGATTCACAACAACACTGAAAAGAATTCATTTTCCATGCATAATTCGGGTAAATTCACATTTTACTGTCCCTGTTCAAATGTATACTTTGCTTTAATTAACGATACAGAAAAAGATTATGAGCGATTTTTGGTATAGGACGTATAGAGCGAGAAGAGGACGATGTTCGATTCGCATCGCGTTTTCGAAACTAGATTTCAACGTCCAAGCGGTTTCTGCTTGCATTTGTAAACAGTGCCACAGTCGTCGAAGAACGTTCACTAAAATGGCCGCGGTTTAACCAAGTAAGCGGTCAGACAACAAGCAATGCACAGTAAAAGTAAAGTGAAGTATTGTTTTATGAAAGCTTTAACAGGCGGCACGATAATTAAAGTGACCGGTTTCTTCTAGAGAAGGAAGGCGATCGATCACTGGCATACAGGTGGCCCAAGCTCCAGCTGTGAGAAGATTATCTTCCTGTCATTTTGAGATTGGGTTTTTCGCTCTCGGAAATGGAGTGTGTAGCCTTAGGAGTAGGAAAACTTAGAAATGGTTAACTCGTTAAAATGGCCGCGGTTTAACAAAGTAAGCGGTCAGACAACAAGCAATGCACAGTAAAAGTGTGAAGTATTGTTATATTTACTCCTAAGAGTAAATATTCCCATACAAACTCTTATAATATTTTCACCATAACGCTTATTACGCAAGATGATCGTCTCACAGCTGTGGAAACCAGAAACGTCGTTACCTTCAAAAGTTACGTCACAAAACACGATTGGTGTCAGGTTTTCGTCGACGTTCCCCCCCTTCCGTTTTCTCTTGGGGGGGGGGGTACGGCTACGCGTAGATGCACCGATAAGGCCTTAGGATATATTTGATCAAAATATTAAAAATTGAAAATAATATAACAAATTTTTAATGGTTTGACATTTAATACTAGCGGATATCTTGCTCACTATTCGCAATTTTCTTCGCAGTTTTCCTCGCGCCTTTGGGGCGCGAATAAATACTACGAATCTCACAATTTACCCGCAAGTATTAAATGTTAAGCCACCAAACAAAGTGTATATACATAATATCAAAACGGGGATGGTTCAGTACCTTTCAATTCAGGCCAAAGCTGATATTGAGGAAGGCCCATTGGCAATTGTGAATTTTCTCTAATTCTACTCCGATGTAAAAAATTGTTCTATGCAAACTTGCGCCATACCATGGATATATGACATATGCCATACATAAATTAGTTGCCGGTTGTTTCCATGTTGACTTGCTTCAAACATCTTAGTACTTGGCCGGTTCGGGAGGCGGTATCGAGACGGCTTGTCCTTTTATCTCAGCTGAAGGATTCAGGTTTGGAATAGGTGGCGAATAAGCAGGTGGTGCTTGGTGTAAACCTGAAGGAGGCTGGTTGTAACCTGCTGCAAGCTGGAGAAGGCTGGTTGTAGTTATGCAGCGCAGGAGCTTGTACTTGCTGCGTCGTTACCGTGTGTGCCTGAGTTGGGACGAGCTGTTGTTGCGGCTGTTGGGTGACGATCACAGCACCTGGTGCACGATCACGGTAATACGGGCAGGAAGCACAGCAGAGGTAGGATACAGTGCAAATGACGAAGGCGAAGAAGACAATATTGCTGATGATAATACCTGCAATAGTTCCGCTGCTCAAACCACAGTTTGACGGACGCACTCTCCGACAACATTCCTCTCCAATGCCACATTGGAAGTCATACGTACAAGAACAAGAAGACGACTCACTGATGCATTTGTTTTTACAGCATCTCTTGCCTAATGCACATTCGTACTTGTTCGCACAGAAACAAGAAGACGAAATACTGATGCATTTGTTATCACAGCATTGCTCGCTAGTTCCGCATTAGTGGTCGTACGAACAATAGTGACATCTTTGTCTGCAGACGTTATCTGCACACCAGGATTCAAGGGCCGAACAATCAGAGCTTTTCAAACAGTATTTAGCCTTTCCCAAAGCAAAGAAAGCCATCGTCACCAGTTGGCGTTATCCGGCTCAGAGGACCAGAATGAATTTTCGTGTTAAACGCTTCCATCACAAAGATAAATACTGTATTTTACAACTCAACCATTTATTACTTTTTCTTAACCACGAGGTTGCGTAAAATCACATGACCCTAACGTTGATAATTCAATGACACGCAATGCGTGCAAACAAGATAAAAAAATATATTTAAAAAAATATATATTGATGTTTAGTCGCGACAAGCCGACTACGTCTTGTGTTTCTCCCTGCGCTTCTTTCGTGCTCTAGCCGCTTCCTGCGTGCCTTGAAACAGAACAGAGCATAGTCAAGACTTTTTATTTGTTAAATCAACGTTAACAAATCAGCTTCTATTGAGATTATAGTAATTACATCATGTGAACCTCATGACTAGGATTGTAAAACATCACAGTTTTCCTTCCATTTTACTTCTCTGATACGGGCGAACTTGCAAATATCGAGACCTCTTTCTTCAATGCAAACCCAACTTTATGAGACCATCTTTTTCTGGCAGGTTTTGGGTCTCACAGGGCTCAATTTGAATTTGAATTTCAAATAGTGTTTGCATCTGCCAATATGATGAAGATGTCCACCAAATACAAGGTCCTTTGAGACTAAATATGGCAAGACAACATCGGGATTTAACCGGTTTCTTTTAGCTAATTAATGTCTCCTTCATAAGGTCTCATCGTAGTAAATCTTCCGCGACAAATGCATTATTAGGTTTAATACTGCAAGCAAAGATGTAGCACTATGCATATGTTTTACACCTGGTTGGTCTCGACAGATCTCGTCAGTTTTGATGAAATCAAATCGATATTCTATTACCGAGATTGACTGTTATACGACACGATCGACATTCGCCATCTTGAAAATTTCATAGGCTGAAATAGATTGAAAACTGTCGATGGAAGCATAGACTGGGTCAAATACAGTCACATCGATTTAATATGGCAGTTAAGTGAAACCACATTTCTAAGAATACAATATTCTATCTGGAAAAATGATGCAAATGGCCTGAGTCACCTTTCTCTGACAAAAATCCTTTCCACAAGGAAACTGTGTCTACTTTTTGTTTTTCTTTGTGTGACGAAAGCAAAATGGAAGATTAAATTAGCAGATATACAGCGCACAGGTCATTCTATACTTCATGTACTCGTTCGAATGTCAAAACTATCCCTAAAAAATACTAGCATAACATTCAGCATTCAGTAACTTGACTACGTTTACGCTTACATAGGTGGAAATTAAACCGAAAGATATTTATTTCACCGAAACAGTTCTGTTGGGTGGTTACTTTTATTAGACCTTGTTCGGTTGTCCAGCGTTTATTGCAGCCGGCATCGGCGCCGCTTGAGCTTGTCCCGGCGGTGGAGGATATTGGTTTGGTGGCGGTGGATAGCTCGGGTAAGGCGGAGGTGCCTGACTAAAGCCTTCAGGAGGCAGGTTGTAACCAGCTGGAGGAGGCTGATTGTAGTTCACCAACGGAGGAACATGTACTTGTTGCGTCGTCAAGTGTGTGTGAGTTGAGACCATTTGTTGTTGTGGCTGTTGGCCGGTGACGACCACAGTGCCGGGTGTACGATAGCGGTAGTAGGGGCAACAAGCACAGCAGAGACAGGACACAATGGAAATGATGATGGCGAAGAATATAATTGTGCCGATAATAGCGCCTGCAATAGCTCCGCCACTCCAACCACAGTATGATGACGAACAAACTCCCCCACAACAATCCTCTCCAATGTTACAATCGGAGTCGTACGTACAGTAACAAGAAGACGAACTACTAATGCATTTGCTATTACAGCACTTCTTGCTCGATCCACATTGGTAGTCGTACGAACAGGAACAAGAAGACAAACTACTAATGCATTTGCCATTACAGCACTTCTTGCTCGATCCACATTGGTAGTCGTACGAACAGGAACAAGAAGACAAACTACTAATGTATTTGCCATTACAGCATTTCTTGCTCGATCCACATTGGTAGTCGTACGAACAGGTACAAGAAGACGAACTACTGATGCATTTGCTATTAAAGCACTGCTCGCTAATTTGACACTGGTAGTCGTAAGAACAGGAACAAGTGGACGAACTACGGGTTCATTTGTTATTACAGCATTGCTCATTCGTTCCACACTGGTAGTCGTACGAACAGTAGTAACATCTCTGTCTACAGACTTTATCTGAACAACAGGACTCACTGTTGAAACAATCGCTGTCGTCGTTACAGTAGGTAGCACTTCCCAAGGCAAAGAAATAGACGATAAGAAAGCATAAGAGTTTCTTTGAAGCCATTGTCCTTTCACAGTTTTAAAGGCGTCTGTTCGATGTGAGATAATAATTTGATAAATTGGACGCAGTTAACTGGTTTCCAAATTATCATATATGGCATTGATGGTGATAGGGGGGAGGGGAGGGAGAGAGGTGGGGATGTTGAGGGGGACGAGGAGAAAGTCCATAACATTTTACCAAAGAAGGTCACGAGATGCCACGGATAACCCTCTAGAACAGAGCAAACAAACTGGCCTACCGAGCAACAAATTGGCCGCATCGGGCGATGCAAAATTAGTATTTTTTGTTTTTTCGTATGGCTTACACAACGTGTGTAGCCATATTATGGCACGATCGGATTTCTTTATTTGTTTATACACGAGAGTCGAGCGCCTGTCACGTGGTCTAGTATCGTATTATTGTACGGCGCACTAATCTGAGTCAGCCATCTTGATTGTAAGCGTGGTCTCGAGTAATTTTTTTCATGTGATCGTATCACGAGTTAGTTCCCCTCACACAAGCCAACACATCCAGACCCGGCTTGTGTTATAAGTGCAGCTTGTGCAAGAGCTTCTACGTTCTTAAAAGACAATATTTAACTGCTTGAATCTTCGGTACGGGCTGTACCACACTGAAAGGAGCTCTTGCACTCTCACAAGCCAACAACTATCGGCTTGATTTATCGGTGCGGGTTGCACCACTAAGTGTGTCTGTGTAGCAATGTCACTTACTGCTATTATTTATCATTACATAGAAGATATCAATTTGTGGACTTCTTCCCTTTTGAATAATATTCTTACCAATGGAAATAATTTGTATACTTCTATAAGATGTTCTTTCTAAACAAATGATTATTTGCTTTTAACTGATGTTCCATACATTGTTTCAATGTACAATAATGTATACACATTAGAATATAGTGAGTCATTAACAGGAAGTTTGTTGATAAATAATGGGCCATACATGTCTCTTCAAAATTCTCTGACAGAAGTGTTTTCAAATTGTCAACTTAACTACAAGTGTTGTTTGTTAATGATTGGAATAAATACTGTTGCAGTGATTAAGAATTCAGAACAAAGCTTAAAATTTTTGATGCTCATTCCAGGGATTTTCATGGGATGCCCCACTCATTTGGGAAATTCACTTTGCTTACCATTGAAGGAATTGAAAACCTTGTATCATACTTGAACATTTCCTGCTTACAAATAGGGTTTGTTCCTTTTGAAATTAAAGGTGTCTTTGTCAGAGATAATGAACTTGATTTGCAAAATGTTCACGAGAGTCCAAAAATTGAACATTTGCCTTTCATAAATAAAAGAAACCAAACACAACATATGAAAACGAAGTAAAAGTCTTTAACTGAAACGCCAGAAGAAAAAGAAAAACGAGTGATTGCTAAACATGAATATGAGAAATGAAGAAAGGTAAATGAAAGTGAGGAATCTAGGGAAAATAGGCTGGCACAGCAGCGTCTGACCAAGGAAAAGAAACGTGCAAATGAATCTTCTGAATCAAGAAAAAAGGGGGTTGCCAAACCCAATCTCATTATCAAAGAAAAAAAAATTGCAAATGAATCAGCAGAATGTAGAGTGGAGAGACTGTTAAACCAACGTCAATATCAGAATGAAACTAGACGCATAATTGTATTCACCCAAGCTTTCTGTTGGAAATAAACTTTGTTTTTTATGCTTGCATTTTCCTAAGTTTTTATACAATTATTGGTTTATCCTGTACCTGTTTTTGCATGGTTTACATGAGGTGTAAACCACACTACGTCATGATCCAAGATACTTATTCCTCGCTGGATTTATCACAGTGAACAGAGCGCTTGTCACGTGGTTTATTATTGTCGAAGATTGGTTTCAGTCTATGCTTGGCTAAGTTACCTAAGCTTCAAAGCTTCAGAAAGCGACCATTTTGCAATGGTGGCTGTAACACGCTGTCGAAGATCGTTTTTTTTATCTAGTTTTTCATTCATCAGTTTGTTGCTTAGATTTCACACGCCGGCTTTCCTACAGTCGGCGTGTCTTCTAAGTGCCGATTACAGCGTGGAGTTGAGCTCTGACAGGCCAACATTTCATGGTCTGGACCTTCAGTGCAGGTCATACCACATTGAAACCTAGGAGTCATTATTGACTCTCTTTGCGGTCACATTTCACATAAGTCATTTACTGGAACATTTTTTATCCTGAATTTCTGATTATACCACATGCTCAGTGAGAAAATTACTTAACCAGTCTTTTTAGTACATGCAAAGATAAAATTTTGGTTAAACTGCAAAATACCTTACCACCCGTGGCATTACATGTCATTGAATACGAATAGAATAAACCATTTTTAGCCAGTAGTGAAAATAGGACTTTTTTGTTGCCATTAGAAAATCAAACACTGACGGTTGTCTGGAAATTCAATTTGACGGCCTCTTTAAATGAAATTATACTTTCATGTTTACATAGCTAAACCAATAAAAGTCACAAACATCTAACGCCTAACCTGAAACTGCGGTTTGTCATTAACAAGGTGCTAAATGTCTATTGTGATTGTCTCCAAACTTTAGGGAGTAATCCATTGAAACTCAGTAGCGAAGTGGTTTTGCTTTTATTAAAATATGAATCGAAGCCTAGTGCTTTAATGTTAACTGAAATGTTAACTACTCTTAAACGAAGCCTTCGAACTCAATACAAACGATTCTTCACTCGCTCTCGCTTTCAAATATTCTACTGCCTTATCCAATGCTTCTGTAACTCTAACAAACTCTACATCGTACCATTCAGGTACTTCATCGTGCTCGGAGTCGGAAATAAACGACAGATACTAGACATTCAATTCTTCGGCTTGTTGTAAACAAGACTTCAATTCGGCCATAATTTGATTGATACGAGTTTTACTACTGGCCAAACTGTTCTATCAAAGCTGCTAAACCTTTCAGCTGATCATGAATTGCGATCTTCTTTTACTTTTCAAGAAAGTTTGGACTGAAATTTCCGGTTGACTTACCTTCGGCACGTTTTCCAGTCCAACTGATGGCGGATCTCGTCTATCGCCCCAATCACTCAATTCATCGTCCATTTCCACAGGAATTCGCAAAAAACACAAAATAATCGCTAAAAACTACGACTTATCCACCAGTTGGCGTTATCCGGCTCGAAGAATCAGAAAGAATTGTCGTGTAAAATGCTTCCACCACAAAGATAAGTAGTGTATTTTACAACTCAACCATTTCTTATTTTTTTCTAACCACGAGGTGTCGTAAAATCACATGACACAATGCGTGCAAACAAGATAAAAATGTATTTAAAAAAAAACGAAATATCGATGTTCAGTCGCTACAAGCCGACTACGTCTCGTGCTTCTCCCTACGCTTCCTTCGTGCTCTAGCCGAATCTTGCGTGCTTTGAAATAGAACAGAGCACAGTCAAGGCTTTTTACTCCAGCTTCCGTAGGAAAGCTCGAGTTTAAAAATGCAAGCCGTTCTTCGTCGTATTTGGTCGCCAAAAGTTCCAGGCGTTCCCAGCGAAGACCCTCGAAACTGGGGATGAGAATCACGACAACCTAAAAGCCATTTTTCGCAAAAAACACAACTTATACAGAATGCCGCAGTGTTTTGTGAAGAAATCTCCGGAAAGAACAATGCCTTATACGCTCGTCTCAAATACAAACGCTCACACCATTCGTGGTAGGCCCACACTAAAAGATGTCGAGCGATTTCGTAACGGGTCGGTCCACGAATTCTATAGCTTGAAAGCGTTGAAAACTTTGAAAAATGTGAATACCTCAGATGCTGAAAAACTCATGGATCTTGATAAGCAGAACTTGGATGTTGAGGGAAACAACAACAAGCAAAGCACCACATCGGATAAAGAGAAGGATGTTCAACGAAGCAACTTGAACTGTAAATATCTCAGCTTAACTGTTGTGTTAAATATCCCGAATGTTTTGTTTGGTTTTTTTTTGTGTAATCAATACTTGTAAACGATTTGATATTGCTTAAGTTATCACTGCTATTGTTGTACTATCATTCGATTGACCGATGTCGTGCAAATTTCGTTAGCCGGCACACCAGGAAGTATTTTCGTTAACCGATACGGCCAGGATATAGCCGAATGTTGGTTTGCACTGCGCATGGGATTGCACCTGCTTGGTAGAAGACGTTAAATTCTCTTGATAACTGTAGTGTATTAGAAAAAGTTATCAATTTGACTAATATACATGAACATAATGTTCTAGTTTCAATAAAAGTACAGGAATTCGGATCTCGTTATGCAAAGTATGTATATTATAATTGTAGTCGTGTTGTATGTGAATGTCATGGCTAAAAACGTGATCGTGAACCAAGCAGAGTACCAGTAAATATGTTAAAATGTCTCTCTCAGAAAGGCAGAAAATTACAGAGGTACGTATGGAGCCGATTAAGGAAAAACCTAACAAAATCATCGAAAGTTCATCGTCTCATTGCAACAGGAAGCAAAAGTAGACACAAAACAAGTGTCAGGCTTGTACACAAAATGAGAAGGAAACCCATTTTTAGAACAAGAAAAGTCAATTCTACAATGAGATATGTTAACAAGTCAAATACAGCTAAACATGGAAAGAAATATTTCAAATTGCTTAAGGCTGTGTTCGTTTAATTTCCTATATAGTGAGTACAAGAGTCTAACTCATAGAGGCAATTGTACAAAGTACAAGCTTTGTAATGATGTGGAGGAAAACCCTGGTCCTGCCATGCACCATGTTGATCCCAATAAAACAATAAAAGAACCATATAAAAAAGAGGATGTTGTTGTATTTGGACAAAATGCAGGACAAAAATGTGTTGCAATGAGTTTATGTGCTTTAATATACCACAATATGAAAGGAATAAGTAACCCTGGTGACTTGAAACAAATAGTGCATATTGGCAATCAACTATACAGCAGTTTGTCAAAACTAGCAAGACAATCATTCTTACTGCTAACAGAATTACCAACAATGCTTACAGTATTTCAGGGAAATTACCAGCTAGAATACAGTGCAAGTTACTCTGATAATGTCCATGGTGAGACTACTATTGAGGGATATCAATACTGTATGGGCTTGAAAAGAGCTTTAGAATCACTGATATCAAAACAATACAGGTTGCTTATTTTAAAAGTTGGTTGTATTGCTGTCGGTATTATTTATTGTGCTGAAAATCGCCATTTTAAAGTGTTCGACTCATGCAAGAGAAGTTTATGGCGAGAGTCATCCTAAAGGGACATGCATACTATTAGATATATAATCTGCAGACAACTTTCAAAGTTTATACGGAGTAATTGATGTGTATGAACTAAAAGGTTTACATATTACAAAATATGACATCACGGCGAGCAACAGTGTAAAGATGTGTTAAATACACCATCAGATCAACAGAATTGTTTCAAAAACCACCACTGCTTTGCAATAGCTCTTTATTCTATACGTTACTCAATCATTTCACCTTGTGGTTACTGGAACTCAAATACTTTAGATGCAATTATTCAAAATGGAACTAAGCTTAATAATACAATGCAAAGTGAACATCACTTAGCATCTATTTATATTCATAACAGTGTTACAATTTTTGGCATTAAGATAAATTTAGATGTTGATAAACTAAGTCACAGAAAATTAAAGGGCATGTAAACCCAAAAAACGTTCATTTTCTTTTCACATAGATGTTTAGTAAATATATCAAGTACACCAAAGGTACCATTCGTTTTTTCGCAAAAGTCCATTTTCACTTTGTAAAAGCTCTTTCAAATTCGAAACATTGGCCATCTTGAATAGCGCCATCTTTCCTGTGACGTCACGGGTGGACCCTACAAAGTCTTGCTTTAGAATCGCGTGAGGCACGAAGGAGTCTTTTCTACAGCCGTTGTTCGCCGGTCTCGTCATGATTTTTTTACTTACAGTTTGCTTCAATATATTCAATTTTTTCGTAATGGTAAAGCGTTGTGTCGTCCAGTTTTGTACTGATTTAAACAAAACTGGGCATTCAATGCAAATATTTCCAAATGACGCGAATTTGAAGCGACAATTTGTGAAATTTGTACAAGTGAAAATAGCCGATTTCGTCGGCTCGACGAAATCGGCTATTTTCACTTGTACAAATTTCACAAATTGTTTGTAGCAGTCATTTTTCTTCCTGGTGCTGTACCGAAGATTCAGGCCTTACTAGAAGCAAATTATTCGGAAGTATAAAAACGACCCATACAGTCGGTAGACGACGACGATTCGGAAGTGGCCGACCGAACTGAGAAAGAAGTTGAGCTCTTCAAAAGTTAGAGGTCAACGGAGACAGTACAAAATCGATTTACATGAAAACGTTTCGTTTATTAAACAACGATAGCTTTATTGGTTCTCTAAAAACTACTTCGGAGATGAAGGAAAGCAATACATAGATATCTCATAAAGAACGGGCATAACCTCCAGTGCTGTAAGACATAAATAACTAAGATCTGCGTTAACATATACCTTTGTTTCTCTCAAAGGTTTGGCGGTTTTAATCCAGTGTAAGGCGATCCAAAATTCGCTGGAAAAAATGTTTCGGATATTGTTTAACGCACAAGATGGCACAGCGACCCTGAAGTGTTTGCCGAGATATTCCCAACACCAACGAAAAAGCTATCTGTAGGCAATTTAGCGAAATTTCCTGCCAGGAAAGAAGCGAAAAACAACTAGCTCTAGTACTGTATTATTAAGTCAATGGCAAAACAACCCAAGCAAATGATCTCAAAATGTAAAAAAACAGATGAAACAGAAAACATTTAGCTTACTCGTTTCCGGTGTGATTATCTGTGCCTTGCTGCTGCCTGTATGCGCAATTAGCCGTCTCCAGCACCCAGAAATCAAGGCAAATTGACTGAAAACCTGGATGCTCAGTGATACAACTTATCTGGGTTTCAGGCCCTTGCTACTCTACTTTTTGCCACAATTGCCAGATTTCCGTACAACAAACACTTTCATGAGTTGTCGGCATTGGTTGACAAGTTCCACACTCGCACCTTTGATAATTTTATATAAAACACTCTCAGAAGCTCAAGTTTAAAAAATTTCTGTTGCATTCTTTTAGATTGTACCCTCGCTTTATTGGATTTTCATGTCAAATACAAATAAATCACACAGTAAATTAAATACCAGTCTGAGTTTCCGAGACGGTCGCATCGCTGTCGACATGTTCTGTACTGTCTTCGTGCGGATCGCTTCGGTGAACCCTACGCGGCTCATATTGTTAAGGACGTGGCCCAGACTCTCCTGAAGATTCTGGATTATCCCCATCGCTGTCATGTACTAAGCTTAAGGCATTCGAGTCGCTATCTTCTGAAAAAATATCTTCCAAACTACCGCTACTTACACGAACTCCCACACCAGTTCTACTGGGGAATATGTGTTGCGCAATATTTTAGTTCCACCGCTTACGTCACGACTTCTCGCTATTGTTTTTACCGGAAATGGAATTTCAGTTGAAAATGCCGATTTTCTCCTATAATAAGTCGAATTGGACAAAACGAATTTCAAATTCGTTTTCTACGCCACTTTTTACATAGTATAAGAAAACCATGTATTTTTGGGTTTACATGCCCTTTAACTAAATTACCTGAAAGCCAGATATCTTTAAAGACCTTGATTTTAAGGAACAATGGGAAAACAGAATTTTTAATGTGCATTTCAAGTTATTGTACAGCTTGTATTTATCAACAAAATACCACAGTAAGATTGTTTTCACTGCTGACATGAAGATGGTAATTCACCTGCAATGAAACACATAAAACCCATCAGTGGTGTTAACAAACTTGTAGAGGCAATTCATGATATTATTCAAAATAAACAGCAATGTCAGACTGTAGAGTATGATATACAATTTATTTGCTGTTCTTGTGATATTAGTGAAAATGAAAGGGAAAATATGACGAGAAAACAGAAAAAAAACATGTATATGACAGCATGGAACCTGTTGCAAAAAAAGGTTTGTAGAGGAGATTCAAAAGAGGTATTCAACAATGGATCCTATAAAAAAGAAAGAATTATCTTGCAAACACTGACAAAATTACCAATCTTTAGATGGTATAGATAAGAAAAAATTATTCCACAAACGCAAAGAAAAATACCAATCCATGGATGCGACAAAAAAGAAAAAATTATTTCAGAAATGCACAGAAAAATACGAATCAATGGACACAGAAGCCAAAAGAGATCTATTGAATAAAAGAAAAGAGAGAATCAAAGTCAAAGCCACATCTATTGAATCACGTATTAAACCGTTTAAGAAGAAAATGAGAGAAGGCCCTTATTTCATATGTACTCTCTATAATCGAATACTTTATAAAAAAATAGGTCCGCAATGCGTACTTGTGTGGGATTTCATTGACAAAGTGTTTGCGAGGGGTTTTTGAGCGGAAGCAAACCTGTCGCTCACCGTGAGTCAACTGTACTACAGGGGTGATATTAGGCCTGGAATCAACAGCCTGAATAGTAATTTTTGTGCAGGAATTATTTGAACAAATACAGATTCACAGGAGAGATCTGGGGTATTAACTTATACTTTTATCAAGCAATATGCCTTTCCCTCCCTCCCTGGAAGCCTTTTGGCGTGTTTTTGAACGTTTGGTAATCGTCTTCAACAAATAAATTACCTCTTGGTGGCTTAGGCTATTTATTTGTTTATACGGCAATACTGGAAATACTTGGAGCAGTAAATATTTTCGTAACAGTCATTAAAAAAAAATTGAAAAAATTTCTGCTACTACTGTTTAACTCGTGGATACACGATAGCGTAGAAACGAGTTCTTGTGGGCGCTCTACGATATGCAAATTAGCGTGGACTCTTCGTAATTAGTCGTAATTAGTCTGCTTCGAACTCGAGATCTATCCTTCCGAAGAAGTAAGTCCAAAGTCCTGGCGCTATTATGATTGCACTGATCGTTGCGATATTTATTGTCTTTACACGCCTGTTTCGACATTTACTATATTGAAATGGACTTCAAATGTTTCAGATTAGTGCTATGATCAACTTAAAAACCAAATTTGAAGGGTCTTCGAATCGTCCATGCGCTAAACATAACGAGGACCAGCGAGAATCACGAAGACTTTGTGAGTGACAGCAAGCTGTTGACACAGAAATTCCCACGGAAACATGTACCCATGACATAAAAAAAATGGTAATTTGCAGCATTATTTCTTTCTACGCCAATTTGGGTCTTTCCGTTGTAATCGTTTCGTTTTGTTATTCTTCTATGCAAACGTGACTGTTTTGATGGTAAGAATGAAAGATGATCACTTTCAAGAAGTCGTTGCCGAGCACGTGACTATAATCTGGCCGGTGTTGTTTTGATCACTTGACGATCTTTTTCGCTGAAAATACAGGACGACTTCCTATTTCAAGGAATGTTTTTCCAATTAATTTATATCGCATCGGTGTAAAAAAGTACAGGTATATGGGTGTTCTGAAAAACAAAAGGGAAATTCAAAACTACGAGAAATTGCGAGTAATCGGCCTCTTCTGCTACACGCGGGTTTTTTTGGTGTAACATGCGTGTGTTTCCCATAAGTTACAAGCACTTTACGCACGTGGGAATGCTGCAATCACGAATTTTAGATTACGTGAAAGTCACGCATGTGGTTGTTTGCTCACCTTACTAATATGTTTGTTTGCTTGTTGTTGTTTTTTTTGGTATCCTGGAGTATTTCAGGAGGAGTTGCAGACTTAACTGTGGAATAATTGTTTAATGCAAGGTTGTCAATAAAGGTTGCAGTTAGAAATTAGCCAAGATGCTAAAGGAGCTGTCTTGAAATTTCAAGACTGTGTGTTATGTAGTTTATTTTTGTCTTTTGTAAATGGTTGTTAAACTGGACAACTCTTAGAAAGATGACTTCAAACTTAATTTTAAAAGGCCTGTTCTGGTACCAAATGAATAAGCAGCATTTCCTTATTAATAGTTTTTTGAGTTTCTCATTACAAATTCCTCTGAAAAAAAGGGAAACAACTCTTTTCATAACTATTTACTGCTTTTTTTGTTGCTCTCTTAACTTAAAAACAATGTACATCATGATAAAGTAATTTGTTAGAGGACACCGTGAAATGAGGCCTAAACAGCTTTATGATCTGTGAAATATGTTGCTAAAACATCTGCTTGTATATCAATGTTAGATATATTTGTATATATATGATCAATTACTGTGTTGTTGTCAGTTGTATAAGTTGATATGAACTGTTTGTAATGGTTATCCCTCACTAGTAAATTATACAAAGGTCTTCTGTCTGTTTCAACAAGCCAATTTATATTAAAGTCTCCAGTAATGTTATTGTTGTCTGGTGAAATGTTATTTAATACCTCAGTTATTGCTTCATAAAGTTGTCTTACAGGCACGTTTGGGGAGTGATATATCCCTATGATTATTCAATCCTAAAGACTTGCTAACTTAATTACTGTTGTTTCAACACCATGTATATTGTGACAATAGGGGTATCCAGGTAAGTATGGGATTTTACTGTACACAGCTGTACCACCATAAGACCTTGATCCATTGCTGGAATTAAGGTTATCATTACGGAAGAGAACATAACCAGCAATGTCATACATGTCATTATTATCTTGAGAATTAAATCTTGTTTCTGTGAAAATATTGATATCAGCACTTAGATAAATTAAGTCTTTACGTATATCTTCTATGTGTTTGTGAAGAGACCTTACATTAAGATAACACAGTTTAAGAAGGGAAAATGTTATGTCATGGAGAGGGGAGATGCAAAGCTTAAGTTTTGCAGTTGTTCTTAATCTCTCCATCTGGATTAACAGCAATCTTGCTTTCACACAAATCAGAAATATATAGGCCTTCTATAGCAGTCACTCTACTGAGTCCCACATAATGTATGTGTGGAATAGTATTTCTGGTACTAAAATCCACAACAATTCTACTGTCAGTATCACCTTGTGACTTGTGAATTGTTTTTGCTGCTGCGGGATGCAGTGGAAATTGTTTTCTAACAACTTGTGCTGTTCTGTTTCTACCTACCGCAAACTGTGTAGTCACAGGGTTTACTGGGGTCCATGTGTGTTCAATTCCTTGCACATACAAATGTCTTTTTTCATTCCTTGTTTTCTGACCTACATCTGAGTGGTCAAATTGTACCCATACAATACCAGATGGTTTGGTTTGTTGATGTAACTGAACTAGTTTAACAACATTTCCAGCACCATTTGTCATGCCATCTTCAGTTCGTACATTCATGACAAAGTGTGTTCTTTCACCCTCAGCAAGACAAAGGGTTGAGGCTAACTGTTTTGTTTTTCTTGGATCATTGGGTATTTGTCTTAGTATTTTGTTTCTTAGCTCTGGAGAGATAGCTCCAATAACACTATCTAGAGCATTTATTGTGAATTTGTTTCCTGTGGCTGCATTATGGGCCCTTTGATTAAATTCATCGACTTTAGCATTCTGTATAAATAAGTGAGGTGCATCTATTGGGTTGTTGATGTCTTCTTGTATAGCTCTCTTTAAGTTTTGCAATGTCAGCTACTGTGTGTTTACCTTTATGCAACCTATTAAGTAATTCCACAAACAATTTGCTGTCTCTTTGACCCATGATTTCATTAAGTTCAAACATTTTAAAGTGTTTATGCCATAAACTGGGAGAAAGAACAGCATAAATCTACATTTTTGAGGTCTTTGAAAATATAAGCATCCATAACAGATTCTAATTGGAATAAGTCACCAATAGCAATTATGCTCACACCTCCAAAATCCTCTCTACAGCCTTTTATATCTTTAAGCCTATTGTTTAGCTGTATTGCAAATTACCATTACCATTTCCTACCATTGAGATTTCATAAAAAAAAATCAATTGACTTCTCAAAGTGTTTAGTCTACTTGAATGAAGCTGTTTGTAATGTCTCAGTGATTGATTGGCAGCCAGAGTGCTATGAAGAGTGTTACCCATAAGCTTTACCAGTTGGAGCTAATAGTATAACTTTGATCTGATGAAAATCATCACCAGCTCTAGTGTTATAATATTTAAGAGAGTGTCTCTGTAAGAGCGGTCCGGTCGATTTTGCTTGAGACACGGATTTCGCTCATTTCTTGTGTGTTGTAAGACATCCATGTACCTACACTAAAACCACAATCCGTTTGATCGGATCTCTTTATTTTTCAGAGTTTTACGGAAATTAAATTTCACTCGAGCGAAGGCTTGTCGTGACACTTTTCAAGACTTTAATTTAAGACAACTTTGAAGGACAATTTACAAAAAACTACGGAACTAAGCAAAAAATAAATACCACAGCCATGTATATTAACTCTATCTTATCCATCGAGGCGACTTTCGTGAACATCACGTTTCAATCAAGGAAACAGGAAGACTTGACTTATCCGTTCGCTTAAGTCACACATGCCAAAACCGATCAAATTCAATGTAAACTTTTGAAAAAGTGAGGCGTTCTTAACTGATCCAACTAACATAGCTAGGAAGTAAGTGCTATAGAAAAGGTAACTACAGAAAAAAACTTTGCGGCCCGACCTTTACGAAAACTTTATAACTCCGTGAACTTACCTAATTTTCGGCAATCTCCAAGTTTAGCCGCCATTTTGAGGATTTGTCAACAAGAAGCGTAACTGATATAAATCAAGCAGGTAGATCTAAAACCGACAGAAATACATACGAAAGCAATTCAAATGAACTTTACTTTCAATTCAAGCGGCAAAATTTGAAATTTTTCGTTAAACTTACCATTCCTACATCCCCATGCGACCAATTCTTCCAACAGTTAATACACTACAACTAGTGTTCGAATTCCCTTCGTCGATTCCATCGTAAGAAATAACCTGTGCCACTCAAACTTCGACTAGAATGTGAAGTACGAATCAAATAACATAACTGCTTCATCTTGGAGGCAATATCACGCTGGTATTTTGATTTTCTGATAGACAAGAACGGTAATCAGGTAGCGATCGCCATGTTTACCTCATAGAACTGATCGCTGACCAGCCGCTGAGTGAAAACAATACGGCTCAGTGGTGAGGGGCGGGGTGTGGGGTGGGTGCGGGCAGATTATCAAAGGATTTTTGGGAACATTCGAACATATGCATTAAAGTATCATAATAAGCATTAGGACTGTCAGTTTTAATGCGAAGGCATGCTTCGTGTTGCAGACAACTTTTGCTTTGCTTAGTATTCTTTTTTCTTTCAAGTACATTTCGTTCCAAATAGGACTGGCGTCAATTCATAGATTTATAAACAAATCTTTACCATGTAAATAAATGTTTTTAGGTAATCGAGATAACCATTGAACCTCTTGTATCGCTTTAGAAGTAAAGTGTCTTGTCTTTGCCCAACTCTGAGAGCGTGGAGCGGCAAAGACGCGAGACACGAGTCTCGCGTCTCGCGGCTTCTCCATGCTCAGAGGATACGCGTGACCTCACTATCTTTAAGAAAAAAAAGGGACTGCTCGGAGTCTGTATTCCGTTCAACCATCTCATAAGAGTGACGCGAGTCTTTTCAATTGAATGAAAAAGTCACAAACCCATTCTTTACCTCACGAGCGTAACCACTGACCACTCACGAATTCACTCAGTAAGCTTCTCCTTTGGCGCGGAAATTGAAATCGTATCGAGTAAACAAAGTTATAGTGAGTTCCTTTAGATCTCCCGGAGCTCCCAAAGCGATACAAGTTCGGCCCGAACTTGTATCGCTTTGGAAACAATTACAAGTACAGGAAGAAGTCGTTCGTTAGCGAGACGTTCATTATGTCTCAGGACTAATTTTTAAATAGCAAAGATGGAAAAAACTTTGGTTCATCGCATGGCTTAAGTGATTTTGTACGACTGTCTGAATGCAATGATGAAGTAAAACATCATTTGATAAGCTGCCACCTGTCTAAAGAGGTCTTATGTGAAAATGAGCTAATCTTGGCAAGGACTGGCCTATTTCACCTCGCTCAGGAGGGTAAACAAAAAAATTTGGATTAGCTATAGGCATCGCCACGCTTTGGGGAAGTTTTGGAGAAGTGCAAATGTAACATGTCAGTATCCTGATCATGATGGTGTCAGGAAGCGTATCCAAGGCAGAGATGTAATTACCCTGCATATGTCTCAGGACATTCAAAAGCTGTTTGGAGGTATTATTCCAGTTGAATCAGGTAGTCCTCAGTAAAATTTTCTGTTATCTATTTTGTCTCATGACATATCTGCTCGAAAAGAGAAGAAACTCCTTATTAGATTAAGGGTACTTAAGTACACATCACGTTACATGTACAATGTTGCTTGGTTGATAATCAATAATGTTTTTCAAGAAGATCAAATCACCTGAAAACGCAATACACTTATTCATGCATACGGTTCACAATTATTTGCGGTCAGTTTTCCTCAGTTTGTATGATTCTCATAAACCAGTATGATTAAATTTGCAGACTAAACCACCCCTTATTTGATTTAGAATAATAAAGTAAATAGTGCATGTCGGTTTTCAATTCCTGATGGATGCTACTGGGCTTCACTTTAACTGAGAAATTTGCAATCGCTTACCTCAGCTCTGTGGCCCATACCGTAAGAAGCACAAGAAAAAAGTTGATGATAGTGAGTCTTGGCTGAGACAAGAAGAATTAGAGAAGAATCTACGGTCCTCAGAAACGCCACTTTTAAACACGAGACAACTAAGGTAAATTGAATTAAGTGGTATTTGTTTTTTTGAAAACTATCGTTTAGATTATAAGATACGCGAATTACTCTCCCCACCGATTTTTTCTTACATTCTGTTAATCAAAAATTTCAGTAATTATTAAGGCTTTCTTGTTGATCTTCTTAATAGTAACAGTTTCCAGGATCCAAGGGGAGCAAAAGAGAGAACAATTTTCTGTGTTGTTTGGTAAGGCAACGTGCTGGCTTTATACTTCTTCCGGCGTGATAACGATAATGATGACAACGATGGGTAAAAAGCACTGTCCGCTATTAATGACGATCATCATAGTTATAAACAAATCTCAGTTATAGTCCTGAAAATAATCTAAATCGGCTTCATATCGCCAGAAGTCAAAGTTGCTCACACACATTCTAAGGTTCGTGCGATTTTACGACGAATTTTCAATTCAGGTGTGTTGCGCGCGCGACTTTTGATAGAAAAAACCTGCACGCGCTATAACTTAAAAAAAAACGTGTCAGCTGAATGAATCAAATCTCTAGCATTTTGCATACATTCTTGGGAACTGCAAAAACGAATTAGAACAAACATTCTAAATATAGCGTTCATTCCGTGCAATGGGGCATTGACAAAAAGTTCTGGTGGAGAAGACACCTTATTTTATACCACTGATGACGAGCAAAAAAGGTCATATGGTACCCCGGTTAAAAATATATATTGATAACTCTATTAATTAATACCAGTTCTAATGTAAAGGAGAAAGTTATGAGATAAAATAAAAATTGTCTGTACCACGAAGCATGCCTCCACTGTTTAGGCTGGGAGTCCAGAAGCTTTTTAAGCATGTATTCGAATATCTTATGGCAGTAAGCCCGCCGCCCACCCCCCACCCTACCCCACGCTATACCATTTTCACTCAGCGGCTGGTCAGCGGTCACGTTTATGAGGTAAACATGGCGATCGCTTCCTGATTACCGTTCTTGTCGATCAGAAAATCAAAATACCAGCGTGATATTGCCTCCAAGATGAAGTAGTTATGTTATTTGATTCGTACTTCACATCCGAGTCGAAGCTTGGGTGACACAGTTTATTTCTTACGGTGGAATCGACTAGGGGAATTCGAACACTAGTTGTAGTGTTTGAATTGTTGGAAGAATTGGTCGCACGGGGATGTAGGAATGGTAAGTTCAACGAACAGTTTCAAATTTTGCCGCTTGAATTGAAAGTAAAGTTCATTTGAATTGCTTTCGTATGTATTTCTGACGGTTTTAGATCTACCTGCTTGATTTATATCTGCAACGCTCCATATTGACAAGTCCCTCAAAATGGCGGCTAAACTTGGAAATTGCCGAAAATTAGGTAAGTTCACGGAGTTATAAAGTTTTCGTAAAGGTCGGGCCGCAAAGTTTTTTTCTGTAGCTACCTTTTCTATAGCACTTACTTCCTAGCTATGTTAGTTGGATCAGTTAAGAACGCCTCACTTTTTCAAAAGTTTACATTGAATTTGATCGGTTTTGGCATGTGTGACTTAAGCGAACGGATAAGGTCAAGTCTTCCTGTTTCCTTGATTGAAACGTGATGTTCACGAAAGTCGCCTCGATGGATAAGATAGAGTTAATATACATGGCTGTGGTATTTATTTTTTGCTAAGTTCCGTAGGTTTTTGTAAATTGTCCTTCAAAGTTGTCTTAAATTAAAGTCTTGAAAAGTGTCACGACAAGCCTTCGCTCGAGTGAAATTTAATTTCCGTAAAACTCTGAAAAATAAAGAGATCCGATCAAACGGATTGTGGTTTTAGTGTAGGTACATGAATGTCTTATAACACACAAGAAATGAGCGAAATCCGTGTCTCAAGCAGAATCGACCGGACCGCTCTTACAGAGACACTCTCTTAAGCACTGCCTGATACAAATCTTTTGTTAAATGCGATTTGCCAACACCAGCCCCTCCACTGAGGAAGCAGTAGAAAGGGGTTTCTGAGGTTTTAATCTGATGTAAAATGTGATAAAAAATTCTTTTTGCTCTTTATCGGGTGTCTGGACCATTTGACGAAAATCGAAATCAGGTAATTCATTCAATATCAGTGGTTCATTATTCAGCGATGTTGATATCATCAGAGAGGTCATAGTTTTCACTTAAATCAGGATGTAAATCTTCATGAGATCCAATCCTTGAACGGAATTGGTCAATGGAGATCCCCATATTTACTTGTGTGCTTGAGCGAGCAACAACAACAATCCAACTAACTAGAAACTCAGTTTATTAAAATAGATAACACTCTTGACAGTTCAAGGCAAACAATAGTTTCTTTCAGTTTGTGACACTTTGAGACACTCGTGAGACATTTTGAGACACTCGTGAGACACTTTGAGACACCCTGAGACTCTTTGAAGCGCAACCCGCACAAATACATTCAAGCCGACAAATGTTAGCTTGCGAGAGTACAATGACTCCTTTCAATCTGGCACAACCCGCACCGAAGGTCCAAGCCGATAAATGTTGGCTTGTGAAAACGTAAAAGCTCCTGTGCAACCTGCTCTGAACACAAGCCGCGTTTCAGCGTGTTGGCTTACGTGAAAAAATCTTCTGTTATAGACACCTGAAGAAATAACGAAACAAACGCCTCAGATTATGAAAGAAAGAACACAAACCAGGTGTACAAACGTAATCGCCTTTCGTGAGAGCTTAATCGTGAAGCTCCCACAACAAAATTGAAAAGTTAAAGCACGCAAAGAACCCGTGAAAATATGAAATGACTTATCCTTACCTTGGAAACGAAAATCCCCAAGAAACAAATATAAAATTCCGAATAAGTTCTCCAAAACCCAACGACTGAGAAGAGAAATGGCCGCCGTACAATACACTATGAAAAAACGCTGACTGGAATCCAATCTTCACGGCTCACTGAACGCAAATAGAAACCACGTGACAAGCACTTCTCTCTCGTGGACAAATAAATAAAGAAATAAATTTCGCGGGCCTTGACTAAGTGTGGGAAATCCCACACAAAAATCAGTAATGAGGTGCATAAACAACAATTACCCCTGCCAAACATTTTTCAATATTCAACAATCATTTGATGGTAATGAATATATATGCAAGACATGTCATTCAAAAGTCATATACGGAGAATTACGATGTCGAGCTGTTGTGAATAATATGTATGTTGACGAAACACCCACACAACTGGCTTCACTAGAAAAACTAGAACAGGTACTGATTGATTCACAATTTTCGATCCTCTAGAGCTACTTAGTTTTCGTTTCGTTTTCCGTCACGTTTACAAGCTCACAAAAAAGTTCGGAATATCCGTTGTAATATTCACTTGCGAACCGGTTGTTACGATATCTAGTTGATTGCGTCAGAGCTATAAAGTTTAGTTGGTAAAAAGCACATGGTGACGGCTGTTTTACATCACCGGTCACCTGCATATCAAACTGAACCTTGCACACGGCAGCTGATTAACAAAAATTTATTATTCAAAAAACACTGCGACAACACACACAAGTAAATACTGCTCGACATCGACATAACACATGCTATCGAAGGATCTGCTGAAGATTAGATCAGCTGAAAGTAGAAAATGAAAAAGCGACAAACCTCGCTAAAGCGGAATCAAATTTCTAACGTCTATAAATAAGGTATCAGCTTAAATGTAGTAACAAGAACCTAGCCAATGGAAAAAAATTAAACTGTTTAATTCTTTTACCCAGATGATCAATTTGACGGCTATACGACACGATAGACATTCGCAATCTTGAAAATTCAAAGGCGAAAATAGATTGAAAACTGTCGATGGAAGCATAGACTGAGTTAAATATGACAGTTAAGTAAAACTAAATTTCTAAGAATACAATATTCGTTCTGAAAAATTTATGAAAATGGCCGGACTTATCTATCTCCGCGTGAAATCTGTGTCTAATTTTTGTTTTTGTTTGAACAACGAAAGAAAAGTGGAAATACACAGCGTACTGATCATTCTATACTTCACGTACTCCTTAATTAAAACGTTTGAAACTATCCCTAAAAAAATGCTAACATAACATTCAGTAACTCGACTACGGTTGCATTTATGTAAGTGGAAATTAAACAGAAGGATATTCATTTCATCGAAACAGTTCTGTTTGGAGAAGATGCCTCTCAGGTTACTTTTATTAGAACTTGTTCGGTTGTCCAGCGTTTATTGCAGCTGGCATCGGCGCCGCTTGAGCTTGTCCCGGCGGTGGAGGATATTGGTTTGATGGCGGTGGATAGCTCGGGTAAGGCGGAGGAGGCTGATTAAAGCCTTGAGGAGGCGGGTTGTAACCAGCTGGAGGAGGCTGATTGTAGTTCACCGGCGGAGGAGGATGTACTTGTTGCGTAGACATGTGTGTATGAGTTGAGACGATCTGTTGTGGCTGTTGGCCGGTGACGATCACAGTACCGGGTGTACGATAGCGGTAGTAGGGGCAACAAGCACAGCAGAGACAAGACACAATGGAAATGATGATTGCGAAGAAAATAATTGTGCCGATAATAGCGCCTGCAATAGCTCCGCCGCTCCAACCACAGTATGATGACGAACAAACTCCCCCACAACAATCCTCTCCAACGTCACAATCGGAGTCGTACGTACAGTAACAAGAAGACGAACTACTAATGCATGTGCTACTACAGCACTGCTCACCAATGCCACAATCGAGGGTGGACGAACAGGAACAAGTGGACCAACTACTGATGCATTTGTTATCACAGCATTGTTCGTTCGTCCCACACTCGCCGTCGGACGAACAGTAGTAACATCTCTCTCTACAGACTCCATCTGTACAACAGGACTCACTATAGGAACAATCGCTTTTGAAGGTACAGTAGGTAGCACTTCCCAAGGTAAAGAAACAGACGAAAAGAAAGCATAAAAATTCCTTAGAAGCCATTGTCTTCCTCGCAATTTGATGTTTGATTTGGCGTTTGATGTGAGGTTATGATTAACTTAATTAGTTGGCTGGTTTCCAATATGACGTTGATAGCGAGGGGGGCAGGGGGAAGGGGACGAGGAGAAATTTTATAACATTTACCAAATAAGCTCATGAGGTGCCAAGTTATTACACAGTAGAACAGGGAAAACAAACTGGCCCACGGAACAACAAACTGGCCGCACCGAGCGATCGAAAATTTGCATTTTTCTTTTGTTTTGTTTTATAATATCTTTCTTTTCAGGTCACAAAATACGTTTAAACTTTAAATTATAGCATATTCCCATAGATCTTGATCACCTCTTATTTCACTATCCATATAAAATCAATTTGTAAAGTAGTAAGTTTATGTAAATGGACTATTTTCACTGAGCGGTAACGATGAAGCCATTCTCGTGTCATACAACGGCTTTGGTTACTTATTAGTGTGAAGTCTTTCAATTTATTTTCGTGACATAAAAATGTCACATTGTCACCGCAGGGTGAAAATGGTCGATTTCGCAAAACATATTCAAAAAAATTAAACCTCCTTAACGATTAACGTTTACTCCGAAATCGTTGTCAAAGTTATCTTTAAATATTAGATAATATACCGCATTATTCTTTTGGTTTCGCTTGGTTTCGTTTCGTTTCGTTTCGCAAAATAGAATAAGCCAAAGCTAATCGAGATTCACAACAACACTGAAAATAATTCATTTTCCATGCATAACTCTGGTAGATTTGCAATTTACTGTCTGCGTTCAAATGTATACTTTGCTTTAAGGATACAGAAAAAGATTATGAGCGATTTTTGGTATAGGACGTATAGAACAAGAAGAGGACGATGTTCGATTCACATCGCGCTTTCGAAACTAGATTTCAACGTCCAAGCGGTTCCTGCTTGCATTTGTAAACAGTGTCACGGTCGTCGAATGACGTTGCATCGTTTGCCGAAAAATCTCAAGGTAGATTTCACTAGGAGATAGTTAAGACGCAAGTGTGAAAAAAGAGTGTACTCTTTTCTCAATCGAAAGAATGGCTCCAAGAAACAAACCATTTTAATTTAATAGCTGCGCAGCACCGTTTGCAAAGAGACCGGAAGTTAAGGGCGGACAATACTCTTGGCCATTGAGATACTGCACCTGGTGTTTTATGAAAGCTTTAATCGGCGGCACGATAATTATAGTGGCCGGTTTTTTCTAGAGAAGAAAGGCGATCGATCACTGGCGTACAGGTGACTTAAGCTCCAGCTGTTAGAATATTATCTTCCGGTAATTTTGAGATTGAGTTTTCGCTTTCGGAAATGGAGTGTGTAGCCTTGTTCTTCTCGTAGGAGTAGGAAACTTAGAAATGGTTAACTCGCTAAAATAGCCGCGTTTCAACAAAGTCAGTGGTCAGACAACAAGCAATGCATAGTGGAAGTAAAGTGAAGCATTGTTATATTTATTCCTGAGAGTAAATATTCCAAAAGAAACTCCTATAATACTTTCACCATGACGCTTATTACGCAAGATGATTGTCTCACACAGCTGGGGAAACCAGAAACATCGTTATCCTTCAAAAAACATATTTATGGCTTGCTGTCTTCTTGAAATTTCTCTATCCCTAAAGTCGGGCAAACTTGCCTTAAACCTAGTCGTAGATCGCTGTTGTCTGAACAGTTAACCATGAAAGCATTCTGTTCACCATCTTGTTCGTTATTGCATGAAAGAAAACTACCAGCTCTAGCCAATCAGAATTCACGAAAGAATCGACAAAAGGGGTTAACCGACAAGAAGTCATATATTTTCCTGCAAAAGAGTGACGTCACAGAACATGATTAGTGTCAGGTTTTCGTCGTAGTTTCCTCCCTTCCGTTTTATCTTGGGGGTGAGGGAGGGTACGGCTATACGTAGATGCACCGATAAGGCCGTAGGATATATTTCACAAACTAAGATCAAAATACTAAAAAGTGAAATGATAGTAAAATAATATATCCCATTTTTGATGGTTTGACATTGAATACGAGCGGACATTTTGTTCACTGTTCGCAATTTTCTTCGCAATTTTCCTCGCGCCTTTGGGGCTCGAATAAATACTACGAGTCTCACAATTTATACGCAAGTATTATATGTTAAGCCACCAAACAAAGTGTATATAAATAATATCTTAACGGGGATGGTTCAGTACTTTTCAAGTCTGGCCAAAGCTGATATTGAAAAAAGCCCAAATACTGAACAAAGTTCCTAAAGACACCGGAAATCTGTCAAGCCTGACGTCATTCAAGAAAAAAAAAAGTCACTCGTAAATAACCTCTTCGAAAAATTGTATTTAATCAAATTCTCATTGTATATTTTTTAATTATGGCGACTGGTATTAATCTTGTATCAGTTCATCGTGAATAAAGTTTATGAAATTATTTTCTAATTGTTTAGCCATTTCAACCAAATTTAACATTTATTAGAATAATTCATATTCAGTGATTTGGAAACATCATAAACGAAGGCCTTGACTCTATCGTAAAATATTGATAAAAAACTAACTGTATTTCCGCAAACACCCCTAAAAATAGCAAATAAAATGAGGAACTTCCGGGAAGAATACTTTGCTTGTCACGCAATTGTAACTTATTATTGATAAATCGACAGTTAAGTAAGAATCTTGAAATATTCAATAAGGTTAACCGATAGCCGTAAAACAGCCAAAAACATTAGCCATTTGGCTCAGAAATTGACAAATTTTACTCGTTTGTCATACAAAAAGTTAACCGTAAGGAAAATTTCTGGTGACCACAATGGAAAGGTATTAACTGTTTATAGCCGTAAATGGGCCAAAATTGTCAACATTAACCGTAAAAACCATCATCCCACTAAGATCCTCAACCTTGGGATGGCAATTGTGAATTTCCTCTAATTCTACTCCGATATAAAAAATTGTTCTATGCAAACTTGCGTCATACCATGGATATATGATATATGCCATACATAAATGAGTTGCCGGTTGTTTCCATGTTGACTTGCTTCAAAGATCTTAGTACTTGGCCGGTTCGGGAGGCGGTATCGAGACGGCTTGTCCTCTTATCTCAGCTGAAGGACCCGGGTTTGGACCAGGTGGCGAATAAGCGGGTGGTGCTTGGTGTAAACCTGAAGGAGGCTGGTTGTAACCTGCTGGAGAAGGCTGGTTGTAGTTATGCAGCAGAGGAGCTTGTACTTGCTGCGTCGTCACCGTGTGTGCCTGAGTTGGGACGAGCTGTTGTTGCGGCTGTTGGGTGACGATTACAGCACCGGGTGCACGATAACGGTAATACGGGCAGGAAGCACAGCAGAGGCAGGATACAGTGCAAATGACGAAGGCGAAGAAGACAATATTGCCGATGATAATACCTGCAATAGTTCCGCTGCTCAAACCACAGTTTGACGAACACACTCCCCGACAACATTCCTCTCCAATACCACATTGGAAGTCGTATGAACAAGAACAAGAAGACGATTTACTGATGCATTTGTTTTTACAGCATCTCTTGCTTAATCCACATTCGTACTTGTTCGCACAGAAACAAGAAGACGAACTACTGATGCATTTGTTATCACAGCATTGCTCGCTGGTTCCGCATTGGTGGTCGTACGAACAGTGACATCTTTCTCTGCAGACGTAATCTGCACAACAGGATTCAAGGGCCGAACAATCAGAGCTTTTCAAACAGTATTTAGCATTTCCCAAAGCAAAGAAACAGACAGAAAGAAGGCACAAAAGTTCCCTAGAAGCCATCGTCCTCTTCACAGTTCTAATGGCGTGCGTTCAGTGTGAGATTAATAGATGAATTAGATGAGATTGCCTGGTTTTTAAGTTCCCTCCAGAAAGGGAGGGAAGGAAGCGGAGGAGGAAGAGACGAAATAATGTTACTATACATAGTCTCGTGACGGGGATGGTCCGGTAATTTCAGTCAAGTGAGGTTAAAGCTAAATTTTAAACCAAGGCTCAAATATTGAAAAAAGAACTTTGAAACAATAGAAATCTGTCAAGCCTATCATCATTGAAGAAAAACATTCGTAAATATTGATCTCCAATATAGAACCACTGCCAAACTTGTGTTTCATCAAATTCTCGCTGTATTTTTTCGTATTATGGCAAACTGTATTCATCTTGTATTTTACCGTTTTTTAAGTTTAAAATGTAAATTGTTTTACCACTTTAGCTATTCAATCCAAACTTGACATTTTGTAGAATTATTCCTACTCAGTGGTGTTATTTCCACTAATCCTATTTTAGAGGACAAAATATTGAACGAAGAACCTAAAAACGTCTCAAATCTGTCAACTCCATCGTCATTCGAGAAAAATATAGTCATTCGTAAATATTGATCTCCGATAACCACAGCCAAACTTGTGTTTCATCAAATTATCACTGTTTTTTTTTTAATGTTGCAACTTGTTTGCATCTTGTATTTTATCGTTTGTTTAGTTTAAAATGTAAATTTTCCTACCACTTTAGCTATGTGATCCAAATTTGGCATTTTATAGAATTATTACTACTCAGTGGTGTTATTCCCGCTAATCTTTTTTTAGAGGACCAAATATTGAACAAAGAACCTAAATACTTCAGAGATCTGTCAACCCTGTCGTCATTAAAGAAAAACAAAGCCATTCGTAAATATTGATTTCAAATACAGAAAACCTTTTTTTTGACAAGCAAGGGTGTGAACAGCGAGAAACACCAAGATAATCAGTACGTACAGGATATGACTGATATCCTGCACGATAATGAGTTTAATTTTGAGACTTACGGATTTAACATCAAATCCTTGAGCCCCAAACTTGAACTCACCATCAGACAAGATTTCAGAAATACCGTGCACGTTCTTTATCTGAGTATTTCTCCTTGTTCGAACCCATGTTGATAAAAAAGGGTTATCTTTATCAGAGATTAATATTTACGAATGACTGTTTTTCGTGGATGACGAAAGGCTAATTTATAGAAAACGTTTT